GACTTCTGTCCCAGAGGCTGTGATTCTGCCCAACAACAGGAATAGGGGTTTTTTAAAGAGATAATTCAAAGGCTGCATTCTACTTGTTCTCTGTTGGAGTTGTAATTCACTTGTTAATTTGGGAGATAGTCATTACCACTTACTTTTGGTAGGACTGACACAAGTGTACCTCTTAAGTTACATGAAAAAAACAAAACAAAACATTGTTTTTCCTTTGAAATGTCCATGTAGGACTGTGCTCAGGTTGTACTCTCCTGTCAGGTGTTTAAGACCAGGTTGATCAAAACTGACCTTGTTCCTATCTATCCTTAAGAGTCAGCTGAGGGCTGGGGTTGTGGACTCAGCAATAGAATGCTCACCTAGCATGTGTGAGGCCCTGGGTTTGATCCTCAGGTCCACATAAAAATAAATAAATAAAATAAAGTTACTATATCCAACTACAACTAAAAAAATAAATAAATAAATAAATAAGAGTCAGTGAGATTCCTCAGAGATTACTCTTGGGGACGTGTGAGAAGTCTCTTGGCTCCTTTAACCAGTGGTGCCATCTTCCAGGATGGGCCAGTGTCTTGTTAACCATACGTGACTTCTCTTGGAAGCATCAATGATACTTCCATCTCCAATGACCGTCTTCTTTGCAGAATGTGCACTGGTTAGCTTCCATGGTCCCTTCTTTTTTGGGGGGGAAGATATCTTTTCAATTGTTTTTCTATTTTTTTTCTCTAGGGTCCTCCTGATCAGCAGATTGGGTGACTCATGAGACTTGCAGGGCCCAAAGAAGGGTTCCTTCATTTTCTGGATTCTGGCTTAGGGCCAAAGTAAGGGCAAGGCCCAAAATGTTGGCTGCATTTTCCTCAGTCCTTTTACTTCCTTGACTTTGGTCTCCAAGTGTTTGGTTTTAAACACCCAGCACGTTAGTTTCACTATTCTTAAAGTGGGAGTAACAGGTTATAACTTCAATATCTATGATTTTACAGTTACCCATTGAAAGGACACTTGTAGAGTCCACACAAAGTCCAAAGACCACACTATACACCAGAATCTCATTCAAGGGGTCAGGGAGGGTTTCAGGTGGGGGCAGAGTCTCTGGAGTCAGAGGAGTTGACTATGAGTCATAGATCTCCGTCTTGGGCATCAGGGGCTGGGAGAAGAAGTAGGCAACAGTTCTAAAATGTACAAGGAAAATACTATATGGGCAATGACCAAACAGACTCCATTTTGCTGAGACTCCATGCCATATAAGAAATGCTTCTCCCATGGGAAAGCCCTGCCTCTGTACCCATCATCAGTTGCTTAGCATAGCATGTTTGGCAACACAAAATGGCAATTCTTATACAAAGTAAAAGTGTTCTCTCTTTGTTTCCCATTTTTCTTGGACTATGTACCCTGTCAGAGATTGATAGTCTAGATGTTAGGATGTTAGTAACCATTCTTTAACTTGTACTCAACTAGAGACATTTTGGCCCCTTTTCTGCTTATGATTTTAGATCTCATGATGTTTGTTTATGGTTTTGAATCACAACAGCCACTTATAATTAATGTGGTTTTGAACTATAAAAGGTATACTCAAACCCTGAGAAGGGGTCGAAGGGTGTAGACCACACACTGGTGAATAAAGTTTCTATCTCCTGCTTTAAGATTGACTTGGTGACATATTGCAACCTTGCCTTAACAATATAAAATGAAATTAACAAAGAAAAAATACTTGTGTAATAGCTATGAACCAAGAAAAATTATTTTTATAATCTTAAACTTTACTTCATTATATATTATATGCCCTTTTTATTCTGAGATCTCAGTAACAAAATTTGATCTTTTGAATACAACTCTAAATGAGCTCAAGTCTAGCCTAGTTTGGAGCCATTCTAACATGGAGTAAGGTGGGAGGCATAGTCTTATCTCAGTTATGGCGGGGCTCTTGACAGATAACACAGTACAACATTACATCTAAAACATGAATCAAACAAAAACTAAGAGAGCTTTTCACTTTCTTTTTGTGGAAAAAGTGGCAAGATGCTTCCATGTCTTACAATTCTGCAACTTAAACATTCACAACTTCAGGGCTGGGGTTTGGCTCAGTGGTAGATTGTTTGCCTAGCATGTATGAGGCACTGGGTTCAATTCTCAGCACCACATGGGCTGGGGATGTGGCTCAAGTGGTAACTCGTTCGCCTGGCATGCACGGGGCACTGGGTTTGATCCTCAGCACCACATAATAATAAGGATGTTGTGTCCACCGAAAACTAAAAAATAAATGTTAAAAAAATTCTCTCTCTTAAAAAAATTTTTAAAAAATCTCAGCACCACATATAAATAATTAAAATAAAGACCAATTGACAACTAAAGAATATTTTTTAAAAATTCACAACTTCTTTTTTTGGGGGAGGGAGATACCGGGAATTGAACTCAGATGCACTCAACCACTGAGCCACATGCCCAGCCCTGTTTTGTATTTTATTTAGAGACAGGGTCTCACTGAGTTGCTTAGTGCCTTGCTTTTGCTGAGGCTGGCTTTGAAGTCAAGATCACAACTTTTTTTTTTTTTTAGTTGTAGATGAACACACAGTATCTTTATTTATTTTTATGTGGTGCTGAAGATTGAACCCAGTACTTCACACATACAAGGCAAGCACTTTACCACTGAGCTACAGCCTCAGCCCCGAGATCACATGCCAGGTTTCAGTTCTCGAGACTAAAAGGCTCAGGGGTCACTCCAGTTAAACTGGGCTAACTGGGCTGCACGAAATAACCACACAAGAGATCCAAATACCTTTTTCTTTGGGGTCGCTGTGACGGCTCCTCTAATCTTAAGGGTCCGCAGAAAGAGAGAGAGCGAGAGCACGTGCTGACCCCTTTTATTGAGGGAAGCTATTCAAATGAGGCAAGGGGTCAGGTTTCAGGGGGCTGAGTATCTTCATGATGTCCACTGTCAGCAGGTGACTGACACCTGGGTAGGCCACACCCAAGGGCACAGTAAGAGAAGGGGACACACACAAGGCACTTCCA